TCATCAGATTAATCATATTCAATTTATAGCGTTCAATTTAAGCTTTTAATTCAAATTTACTATTATTTACAAAATAAAAATATTTATATCATGTTTCAAACTGAGTTGTCCATTCATTATTTATTATATTTCTTGATTAATTATGTAACATACAGCTTTTATATTAAACTTATTTTATATACACACACACACGCGCAATATTCATAAATAAATTATTATCAAATTATAAGCCTAACTATATATTTCGTAAAAAAATATTTCTGATTGAAGTTCAACGAGGAACGAAGGGAAGAAGCGATAGGGTGGACGTCCGGGTACTTAATTGCCCTGATCCATTCGAGCATGAAACAGCTATTAATGATCGTCTCCATCACTTTCGTCTCTAAAATATCGTTGTAAAAGATCGAAGAGTACGAACGACCTCTGATTTAAATCGAACGTTATTTAATCCTTAGAATATATATAATCAATAAAATTTTGCTAAATTGGCAAAATGTATTTTAATAGTAAGTTTGTTTGACTTTAAATTAAATATTTTTTATAAAGAAAATTTTATGAAGAATTATTCTACAAAACTTGTTTTCCAAAAAATATCTCCAAAACTTTTATTTTTGGTATTAAATATCATGATAATTAAATGTCAAATTATAACTTTATTGAAGTAAGGTTTATTTGAAATTCACCAAAGAAAAAGATTTTGTCACTCATTTGAGTTTTTTAAAGTTTAAATTAACGCCATTATTACATCAATTTTTAATTTTTGCGTTGCATTATGTGTGATTAAAAGTTAAATTATTTATTCATTATTTCTTATTAATTGCAACAAAATATTTATTAGAGAGAGAGCTTTCTGAGATTCAAAAATAATAGGGAAAAAAAAGCTATTGAGCCAAGCGCTGTTGTTGAAGCGTTGATTTAAAGTAAAATTTTTATTCAATAGTAATAGTAAAACGTTTCAGCCCTGATTGAGCTTCCTCAGTTACATAATAACTATAAAACTGATTAGAAATTGATATACATATTGAAATTGAAAAAACCAATTTAATGTAACATCTATAAACAAATAGTTTTATTAAGCATGTTCTATTATGTAAGTTTGCTTAATAGAACTGTTTGTTTATAGATGTTACATTAGATTGGTTTTTTCAATTTCAATATGTATATCAATTTCTAATCTGTTTTATAGTTATTATGTAACAACGCTTGGCTCAATAGCTCTTTTTTCCTATCATTTTTAAAATATTTATTATTATACCATCTTTTCTCATTATATTTCCTTGTTCTTAATACAAAATATTTTATTTACGCTTGTTTATTAAAAAATTAATTATTACTCTGCAATACTTTTAATTTCATTGTTACGTAAAATTAAATAATTCAAATTCAAATTACAAAATTTTATTTTAGATAAAATGCGTGTTTGAAACGTCTAGTAACATTAATCATTTCAAAAAGTGACACAAAATGTCGCGTTATGTATCGTCGCGAGTCAGTATGCATAAATAATGTGTTTGTGGTGACGTTTTGCGCGTCGCGGAAAATATGGATTTCCCGAATAACAATTCAATGTAACAATGCCAATCATCCAGTAGAATATCCTTAATTAAATCTCTTCGTGCTTGTGCGATCGAGTTCTGACCCCAGCAAAAATTACACTCTTCCTCTCCTCTTTTCGTCCATTCAGAAAATCCTATCCTCGTTCTGCCATTACTAGAAACCTGTTGCAGATATTTGGTGATATATGGGGAATTCAATTCAATTTCAACAATAGCCCAGACTCTATTCTTGGTTTCCTCACTATTTAATCTATTTTACTATTCTCTCCTCCCCATTTGTTTTTAATAGTTTTTCATAATTATCGTAAAGTGTTGATTCAAGAAATTTTCTCTATAATTTCTCTCTCTACCCATCTATCTATCTATCTCTCTCACACATAATCGTTTCCGGTAGTGACTGGCTGTCAATAGCAAAGTGTAATTAATTGATTTAGTGAGCAGGTTTGGATATATTTTGAATTTGCGTTAAACATATACATCTGTGCGTGGCTTCTGCAGACAATACCGATTTATCTCGCCACGACATTTGCATGTTCGATAGATACGCCAGCAACAGAAAGCGCCTGGATAATCAAACATAAGATAACGATCCTGCGTGGGAAGCAATACGGTCATTAAATCCGGGTACTAACATTCATACGACCGACAGATAAAGATATATGACAGATGTGCGAATGTTTATTCGAATTGCTAATAGGATATATTGCTTGCGCGATAATATATTGACTATAACAAAGCACGGCAAACACAATAATAATCATTCATCTTTTGGACAATTAATAAAAAAACTTAAAAATTCTTAGATAGCATTTTGTGTGTATACTAAATAAAAACTAATAAAAATATATTTAAAAAGTTAAAGATTTACGTCCTATTTCTTGTGTGTATACTAAATAAAAACTAATAAAAATATATTTAAAAAAGTTAAAGATTTACGTCCTATTTCTTTAATTTTGCATTTGCAGTTATAAAAGAATAAAATAAGATATTGAAAAATAATCTATTAAAGTTCCTCATTGCTAAGCCATATAATATAAACGAAACAATTAAATAATGATGGAAATAAAATTAGAGAATATCACTACTAATTGATTTACTAATTGATGAAGATTAAGGAGAAAGGGTACTAAATTTTCTGTTAATAATTTAATGACTGTCAGATTTTGAGGTATACTATGCAAGAGATATCACGTAACACTTCTCGACAGACTATAAAAGACAAAATGTATAGAAGTATAAAAGAGAAATGGGAAAAACGAGAAGATACGTGAGGAATGAGTAATTGTAATATATCGTTCAATTTACATCATTTGACATGCGAAACCGTTTCAGAATTAACCGACCAATTTATCATATGAATGAAATGAACATATTTCTTTGCACTTCATAGTATAGAGTAATCATTTATTTTATAATCTAACTAAACTTTTATTCAATATGTAGATACATATAAAATATGTAGATATATAGAAAAAAAGAGTTAAAAAGTAAGTAATTATGTTTTATAAAATTGTATTTAATGTTTAATCGATATAAGGTATTTAATATCAAAAATAAAAAATTATATAATGCTAATATTAATGCTTAATATTCTTTTAATTACTTAAATTCTTTCTTTTTTCGAAAAAGAGTTCAAACTCTAAAGTGAAAGAAATTATTGTAAACTTTAAATTTATTATTTTTCTACTAACATTTTATTAAATTATTTCATTTTTATTTTAATATTTTATGATAGCAACATTATATATTAGTTTCAAAATTTCATGGCTATGCAGGACAAAGAGATCTTTCTTATTGTTTTAATGTAAAATTAATTTTTATTGAATTTGTTTGGTTTATGCAGCTAATTAAAATTTATATCAAATCATATTCTTTCCACAATATAGCTCATATATTTGAGTTTCAATACAAGATGATACTTTTTATCAGTAACAAATTTATAGTTTTGAAATGAATTTTTAGTACGCGAGTAAAATATCATACGCTACGTACTAATTAAAAATAATATATAATAAATTCTCCCTTCAGATATCGAAAAAGTATCCGAATAAATTAAAGTCGATACATTCATGTCGCGCGTTTCATTCTTTATTGACTACTTATCAATATATGTCAGAACCACATATCAATTGGCTGCGACATAAATAGTTTTCATAATTACGTAGCTTTATTCCAAGCAATCCAGTTTATCATCGAACGAAAAAAAACGAAGTTTTTCTAAAGAATTTTGTAGATAACCTTGTATACATTCATATGCTTGTTGACAAGCTTAATATAAATACCTACGTAGTAGAGAATTTTATTAATGTAATGTAAGTAAGTTGTCAGATGGATGGATGTTTATTAAATGTTGCAATCTCTAGACACACACAGATATATTCTTTTCACGATTTTGCAATCTCAAGATTATCGCGAAAAGCATGTATACAATAAATGAGTAACATATTTCGCAATTCGAATCATAGCAAAATAATTAAATCAAAACCCAACTTCTATAAAATAAAACGATTAGATAGTTATAACAAATGTGAGATATAATTAATAAAACTAGGGTAATTGAAAGCATTTAACAGCTTTTAAATAATTTTAATCTTCATATATTATAAATTAAGAATATCTGTATAAATGTAAAATCCGTATAATAATTTAATAAGATTGAATTTTTATAATTAATTTGAATAAATTTCAAAACTATCTTTAAAATTTAATCTCTAAAATTTTAATACAAATTTGAATTTTTACTGAAAAAAATAAATATTACAAAGAAATTAAATTGATATTTATTTTAAATTAAATTTTAGAGATATACATATGTAAAGCAGTCATTTTGGAAAATTTTTATTTATTTATTTTTTTTTGAAAAATATTTGCAAATTTATTTTTCATTAAAAAAAATATAAAATTACAAGCATATAATAAAATATAAATTAAAGCATAAAATGCATTATCAGTGATAAATTATAAAAAAAATTAACATACATGTAACTTTATCAAATATTATGTGTCTTACATGTATTAATCAAATTTTATATGAACTTTGTATAGTTATGCAGACAAATATTTTTTGCTGCTCAATCAAAAGTGATATAGAAAGGAAAATCGTGTCAACAGATAAATCTAATCTCCACAATTATTTTCATATACTCATATTTTTACATCGTAAACTAAGTTAAGAGTCTAATAAAATTCTTGATATACTAAAGGTAATTGTAAGAAAAAATCTGAAGGATTCTCTCTCACTCCACCTTTTTGATAGTAATCCAAAGAACACCCCATGTTGAGAAGACACACATATTCTCATCCACAAAAGCCAGCCGTACAGTATGTTGGTGGCTTAACCGCGCCACCGACCATAAATAACATCGCAATAATGCCACCGTAAAACAACACTCTCACACATACATACATCTACACAAAAACATACATGCACGTTGGTGCCCTTACCTTCGTTTTCGTTATTTCCAATCAGGATCTCAGTCTCTTTGAAATCCGTCTCCCTGACCAAATCCAACGGATCCTTGGGCAGAAAAATCCCGTCAATGGTGGGCGCTGACGGAAAGCCGAGGATACCCCAATAACTGTTCCACTGCTGTACGGAAAGGGTTTTTGCGTCCACCGATCTCATGCAGGCCATAACTCGCGCCGGATTTTCCTGCAGCATCGTCGAATTACATCCGCAATCGTCTACCAGTACTCGGGCTACTTCATTCGCCTTTTCGCCGGTCATATAGCTCCATGGGGCGTTCAGGGTGCCGCTCTGAAGGATTCCCCGACGTACTAGACCCTGAGTAACCGGTGAGATCAGGAGTAGAGATACGGAACTACCGCCTGCGGATTCGCCGAAGATTGTGATCAGATCGGGATCGCCACCAAAAACGCGCGCATTCTCGCGAAGCCACTTGAGGGCCAAGGCTTGATCCCAAAGACCCATATTTCCCGGTGCTTCCTCACTGTTGGGGAAATGCTGATTGAGATACAGAAAGCCAAAAGCGCCCACCCGATACTGCATCGACGCGATTATCGCATTGCCCGCTGCTGCCATAAGATCGGCATCGTAGACGTCTAAAGTAGCGGTACCACTCATGAAGCCGCCGCCATAGATCCATACTAATATTGCCATGCCATTGTTACCGGGGTTGTCTTCCGGCTTGTGACGTAGATGTAGCTTCTGCGGCACCCAGATGTTTAGATAGAGACAATCCTCGGAGATGTTGGTGTTTGGATTCCACATCTCTTCGCCCTCGAAACCGGGGAAATACTCGTAACGCTCCTGGTAGCAGCTGTTGGGCAACGTGGTAGCGTTCAGGATTCCGTGCCAGGGTTCGATCGGTAGCGGCTTGCGAAACCGCAGCGGTCCGACTGGGGGTTTCGCGAATGGTACCCCGTAGAATACGTGAACCTCGCGATCGAGCACTGTACGGGAGAAACCGCGCATCAAGCCGCTCGTAGTCTCCACCACCAAAGGGTCGTGACCACTGTCCTGGTTACTATGCTGGCCGGCGACGTTTGCTCGCGTGATGCACGCGCTGTGCAGGCTCAGACCTAACAGCAACAGCAACAAGGACGGACAATTCATCCAAAAACTCATGGTCAAATTGAATAGCCTTGTATGTCAATAAGAAACAATTTGTCCCGTTTGTTAAATCGATCACGTTCTCTCGCAAGCGAGATTTGTTTGTGTGGTCACTGCAGGTAGGAGTGTAGCACTGCCAGAGTTCAATTATTCAATCGTCAGTATAGACGATGATACTCCATCGAGCGTCCTTTACGCGCAAATAAGCTCGTCGAATTTTCACTCGGCATTTGCGCTCGGTTTCTCAGGATTTGGCGCGCTTCAGGAATCGCTTATCCCGATGTCTTCGTTGTTGTCTAGGAAGATACATAGGAAAGAAGTTTCTTCTTATGCATATAACGTATCGGAAAGACGGAGGAATAGAGAGCGATTCTTTGGCGAAGAGTAAGACGATTTTGAGGGATAGAGTTTCCCTTAGGTGAATCATCAATCTTGCGCAAGCTGCATTCAATGTACTTATGTTGCTTTTTAACGGGGAAAAATTTTCTTGCACTATGGAAATACATAAAACTCTACGTGTGTTTTATCATCTTCTGTACAAACTATATAACTGATATCAGTTTTTAAAAAAGAATCATTTTTGCAATCCACCAATGTTGCAAACAGATAAATTAATGTATTTGAGACCGATTAACCTTTTGCGGTTCAAGTGTGCCTTCCAGGCATATACAGTATCTGGCATTGTGGTCCAAGTGTGCCCGCAAGGCATATCGTTAAATATATTGTTATAATTATAACTGATTTTATTAGTGAAGTACGAGGTGAAGTATATATATATATATATGGGATATTATTTCATTATTGAAACGCCCATGGTGATAAAAATAAACAATTTTTTAAAGTTATACAATTGTTTACATTTTAATTGAATAATTATTTTTTTGTCTTATTAATTTGAAATGCGTACTGCGCAACAAATTTATTTTCTTTTGTTGAGACTTTAAAATCATAGTTATTTGAGAAAAGGTATATTGTTGTTTTTGCATTGATTTTTTAAATTTTGTAAATAAAACATTTACATTAATAAAATTCTTTTAGTTATTTTTTAATTCTTTTATTACGATTAATAATACAAAAATAAAATAAATATGCTTTTTTTATAAGTATTGTTATTATTATTTTTCGTATTGAATTACTTTATTTTGTAGCAAAATATCAAAAAAAATATTGGATCTGTTCGTATAAGAATTGTGAACCGCAAAAGATTAAAATACCAATTTTTATGAAACTAAAATATTTTTATCAATAATTATTTAAATCTTTATATTTATCATTTTCTACGTATATAATAATTCAAAACATCAATCGTTGAAAGAAAATACGATAAAAATATGACTCAATTTTTATATAATTAGTTTAATAATATCAAATGAGAGTTAACGTAATTAGTATTATGGAACGATAAAAATAGCCTTTTTTAAATTACATTAACAAAAATTACAATATGTATGAAAAACTTTATTCCTTCAAAATTATTTCTTCACTTCGCTGAAAAATCATTTTTTTTACAGTAGGTATCATTCAGATTTAGTCTATTATTATACTATTATACGCTCGATATTTTATTCTTTTAAGAGTTAATTTTTTATCTATTTTTATTATATGATATACATTAAAACAAATATTGAGACAATAGACTTCTATTGCTTAAAATATCAATTTCAATTGCAATCTTTTGTAAGAAAAAGAAAAAACGAATGTCATACATTCCAAATTACAACGCTACAATACTATCCAGTGGATACTTCTTTTTGTTATAAAACTTTTATAGGTCATTGAAAAATAATACACGTAAAAGATTTAGAATTGTCATAAAACGTTTCCTATGGGTACTATATCTGCCAGGAGAGAGACTCAACAAGTTAGCAACCGAAAGGTCAGCATTAACGCGGTAGGAAAAATATCAACTTCTCTCTTTCTATATTTCTAAGCCTACTTAAAAGGAAAAAAAGAACGAAAAAAAAATATTTTGCATTAAAAATATGAACTTATCGAGGAATAATGTTTGTAATAAATAAGAAGAAATATGTGTGCAAGTATAACGCGATAAAAAAAAAATTACTATTAAATAATTAAGTTTTGTAACAATTATCGCGCGCAATGTATAATTATTTTAAATTTATAATTATCATAATTGTTATTGCATACAAAATTATTATTATTATTATTATTATTTTTTTTTTTACGAGAGGCTTATTCTTAATTTTCTGCAATTACGTATATAAACTCTAAATAGTAAATAATTATCACACGTATGTTATACAGTTATTTTTTACAGGTAGATTATAATTATATTTTTTACACATTTAAAAATAATCAATTTCACGATAAAATAATTGGTATTATTAGGCACACACGTGTATAGTACAAAATTACTTTCCTGACTTCTTAAATTGTCCAATTTTTTCTCTTTGTTCTCAAAATTAAGGTCAGAAAAAACGAAGGAAATAATGTCTATGTTTACATTTAAAGTGACTTATATGAAATAGCTAATGCATGTTTTCAATCACTAATCACATAAATTACACTTGATATTAGTAATTACATTCCTATTCACAGTTGTCCGGGATATCATAACGTAACTGTTTGCGTCGCACGATAATAATTTCGTATTTCACGAAACAGTTTCTACTTCCGATTGTAGTATCCGCTATAAACCACAACGCCAGAATACTGCACAGTGTCGATTGCAATAATGCAATCGCCACGAATCATCATTAAAGCTTCATGAACCGAAGATGGGATTTCGCGTCAGCGTATTAGCTATTGAACACTCACCAAGCACTATATTATTGTAAAATTAAATTTAGGATCTTTAACTTATTCTCGAGGTCATTAGTTCATCAAGATTGAAGAAAATTTTATCAGCAAGATGAAAGCCTTTCTTTTGAAAAAATAGTTTTTGGATATTAAAATTGGTTTTAACCAAGAAATCGATTGCGTCAATTTTTTAATTATAAATAGTTGATAAATATGTAGTTTTCTTTTTTTAAAAAAGAGAGAAAAGAAAGAAAAAAAGAGAGAGAGAGAGAGTGAATGAGAGAAAAAGAGGAAAATAGAACATTGTTATACACTATTCCGTTGACTTTAATATTTCATGTTTAACATTCTATTTACTGTTAATGACGGTAGAACCTATTATCTAGAATTTGATCTGTTTTGTTACATCTAGTTTGATCTTATTTTTGTTATCATTTTTTAACGAGATGTGAGATATGTATTTCTTTTGTAAAATTGTTTAAATAATAGGTATAGGTATTTTTTATTGGATTGTTATTTTCCTTGTGATCAAAATTATATTTGTCATATTTCTAACAAATAGAAAAATTAATTTTCTGTTAATAACAAAAAAAATAGAATTAATAAAATGCCAGGGTAATATTTAAGAATTTTAAAAAATTTATATAAATTAGATTTTCCTTATGTATATGTTTTGCTAATATTAAATATATTTTCCAGTAATATTTACAAATTGTGCAAAATACATTGTACAAGTTTTATAAGCTTTCTTTTTTTAATTTGGGAAATTAATAATATCACAATTTAAATTGTAGTATATTTATATTTTTAAAGCTTGAATGATCTTTAATCTTGTGTTATATATATTATTGAATTTATCGTAATAGTCGCTTAAAATCTAATAAAAAATTCCAAATTTTCTTTATTTAAAAATAAAAACTTATCTATCAATATTTTACATTAATATTTTATTATAACTCTCTTATTCTCTTTTCCGCTTTCCTCACCCTTTCTTTGTCTCCCTTGATTTCTCTCTTTTCTTTAGTAATATAAACTAATGTAAATTAATTTTATTAAATAAATTCTATTTTTATATTTATTAAACCAATTAATAATTGTATTAATAATTGTTATCAACAGAATTCAATAATACAAAATTATAAACTTAAAAACGTATAAATAAATTTCAAATTTTTCAATTTTTATAAAACCTCAATTGTTTTATTTTTCATTTATTTTTGCAAAGACAATCTCTTTTTTGTTTAGTTGTATGTTTTCTGACTCTACTGTATTTTTCTAAAAATAATCTTGATGTATCAAATTTTTATTATATCACACATCTCCTATCTTTTCCCTTAATATTGAATCGAGACATATAATACACACGTTTCTTATTAGAAAAATAATAAACATTCTGCTGAACATGAAGACACGTTCTTCACAAAAAAATAAAATTGACTAGTATTCTTTTATATACATTTTGAACTTGTTTTCGTCATAGCAAGTTTGATATTTCTCAGAGCCTCATTTCATCAAACAATCACTCTTGATTAAATCGTTTAAAATAATCTCTCAAGCACTATTTTAGGAACTACGACTGTCCGTTTTTCTCATCAAAGTCACGGTAATATAGCAATAAGCCAGGACTTGTGAAACAAGCAATTTTCGCGATCTCTTTAACGCGATCATCCCTGTCGCACAACCCTTCCGATTTTTCTTCCCTTTCTCCCCGTCTTCCAAACTCATCCCAATCTTCCGTCCTATATACACTCCCTAGCGCGCAATATACACGCGCCGGATATTGGAGGTTTACCTCTCAAAATCGCTTCCTTTTTTTTTCACCCCCCCTCCCTCCAAAGTATTGTTTCCGGAGATATAAGACTTTTCCGTGAACCTTCTCGCGACGTACGTGTCCCGTTTCTGTCACCCTTGGACGAGTGAACCCCCGTTAGAAAATCGACGATCTCCTCAGCTTTGTAATTCCGGCGGGCTGCCACAAAGAGGGATCACTACGTACGTAGACACCAGTTATCATACGCGGCAACCGGCGTGCCGCGTTGCACGGGGTCGACTGATCGAGAAGGTACAAGGTGGAGGTGGTGCTGATGGTGGTGGCAGTCCTAGCCCGTAGTGGTGGCAGTGCTGATGGTGGTGGCGTACGCCTCGCGCATAAGCCGCGCGCGAGTATCTACAAGCGACTCAATCTTCAAACATTGTCCTTGTCCTCTTCTCCCTTTTGCGCCTTCTCAATCTTCAATTTTCTTCCTCATTTCCCTTTTCCTTCTCACCTTCGCTCTTCCCTTCGCACTCGAAGGAATGAGCGGAAGCGCCTTTTCCTTCCTTCTTGACTTATTCCCAGCAAACACCGATATATAATTAATTGTTACGTTGCTATAATAAAAGGTAATATAACGTGTACGTTATATGTAACATCCATGTTAGTTGTAATTTCCCACTCATAGATGTAACATTTTAATATAACATATATTACATTGTAGTTATATTGTAATTATATACCAAATAGCACATTGGTGTATTGATAAGTCAGTGCTATCTTGGGATGTAATGACAATATAACTAGAATGTAATATATGTAATATTAAAAATGTTACATCTATGAGTGAGAAATTACATGTAACATCTATGTTAGTTGTAATTTCTCACTTATAGATGTAACATTTTAATATAACATATATTACATTGTAGTTATATTGTGATTATATACCAAATAGCACATTGATGTACCTATTGATAAGTCAGTGCTATCTTGGGATATAATGACAATATAACTACAATGTAATACATGTAATATTAAAAATGTTACATCTATGAGTGGGAAATTACAGCTAACATATACGTTACATGTAACATGCTTAAGTATATTATATTTATATACTGTGTTTGCTGGGTTCTTGACTTCCCAGCAAACACCGATATATAATTGTTACGTTGCTATAATAAAACGGAATATAGCAGGTAATATAATGTGTACGTTACATGTAACATCCATGTTAGTTGTAATTTCTCACTCATAGATGTAACATTTTAATATAACATATATTACATTGTAGTTATATTGTAATTATATACCAAATAGCACATTGGTGTATTGATAAGTCAGTGCTATCTTGGGATATAATGACAATATAACTACAATGTAATATATGTAATATTAAAAATGTTACATCTATGAGTGGGAAATTACAGCTAACACATACGTTACATGTAACATGCTTAAGTAAATAACATTTATATACTGTGTTTGCTGGGTTCTTGTTTCTCTTCTTTTTTTCCCTTATTCGCGACTTTTTCCCTTTTCTTTTTGCCTCCTACGTTTTACCTCCTTTTTTCAAATTTTTTCCTAATTTCCCTTCTTCACCCTCTTTCTCTTTCCTTCAGTAATCTCTTTTTCTCATTTTCTCCACTCCTTTCTTCTCTTCTACTTTTTCCTCTTTTTTCTCTCTTCCTCGACTTCCTGTTTTTCGAATTTTTTTCTTCCTCGTTATCCTTTCCTATTGCTTACTTTTCGTCTTTCTATCTTTTTTTCTTCTTTTTGTTCCACTTTTATCGGTTCGTGTTCTTCCTCTTTCTCTTTTCCTTACCACGAGGTGTTATTCGTCCGCACGCTCGCGTTGTTTTACTTACAATCTATACCCCAGCTTTAACTCTTGGTTCTTAATCACCCGGACGTACAGAGAAGCGTTGAATGCCCAGGAAAATAGTTATTATTTCTTCCTGTTTTGATAAGAAGCGTTCATAAACTTTGCACCGCTCAGTTTAAACCGCTGATTTATCAATTGCGACGGAGTAACTCAAACTAATTGTTTCTGAGAGAATATTTGCATGTAGAAATGTATGTCGTGCACTATCTGTTCTGTAATATATGATACAATCGTAAAAAATCTTGTGTATCCATCTCGTTAAATCGTTAGATTTAATAGTCTAAACTGCTAGAAAAAGAGAGAAAAGAAAGCCTTACAGACAACACCAAATCCAAAATCGGCGCATATCTTTAAGATATCTTTAAGATGTCTTTTGGATATCATTTCTTAAAGCTGTCTTAAAGATTTCTTAATAATATCTTGTGCTTCAATTTTAGACTTGGTGCTGTCTGGGTTAAAATTTTCCTAATAAAAATTAATTTCTAATTGACATCAAGAACCAGAAAAAAGATACAAATTATTTTTAAATATTATTCGTTAATTTTCTTATATTTTTACTTTATTTTTTTTTATATTTATTTTCTCATATTTATTATTTATTTATTTTTTCAAATTTACTATATATATATATATATATATATATATATATATATAATAATTATAGCATTTTTAAGAGGACTAAAAATTACATAACAATTAATAATAAAGATAATGAGTTTTCTATTATAAATTAATATATTATTTTATATTAGTATTAATTTTTATTTTTTAATCTGTATTACTATTAATAAACGCAAAAATTATTCTTACATTTCCACAGTATAGAAATCGATCGCAATTATATATCGATACCAATGGTTTTGCATTTTTATTATATTTTGCATTAATTGCACTACACAGTTTATAATTGTAGAAATAATATTATAATCCAATAGATATAAATGTGTGTTAAAAATGTTTCTTGTGTTGTAAACCGAGCAGAACTTGTATCGTTTCGTTATCTTCGCAATAATGAGAAGTTAATTAAAAAGAATCGAACAATTTGCGCAACGAGCGAAGATTCCTCTGTACAGTTTTTAGATGCATACCGAACTAAATAGACTTATACAGAAATAAATTTGATTACTTATTAATTCCAACACTTCATGCGTCTAGTAATTGCATAACATTGAAAAGTTTTTTCTCGCTTTTATACTCGCGCGGATTGGTCGATCTTTTTTAATTAATTTCCCATTAATTATTGCGCATATCAGAAAACGATAGAGGACTGACTTTCCTATGCAGTTTAATCTACACACGAGAAATGCGGTGATTATGATACACTTTGTGCATGTATATAAAATATAAATTTAATTTTTATTATTTTTTAGACATGTTATTCGTAAAGGATTTGTTCTCTTTCCGGTTGGAGTAATTTACCATAAATCCTAAATAACGTAATTATTATCCGGAGATTACAGTCGCGAGAGCAAGGAGAAGCAATTATCTGGAAAGGGATTACGCGGAATTTCGTTTTAGACCTAATCGATATTATAGTCTTTATGCGATAACCACAACATCGTAGTTTTAATTGCGATTAGAGAGATAACTTTTCTGTGTTCAATCATAAGAAGAAATCATTCAAAAAATTTCTATTTTTTATTATGAAAAATATTTCAACGGCAAATATATATTTAAGGTTTTGTGATAGTTACAACAAAACTAAATATTAAAGTTTTTATTTATTATATTGTAATTTTAATAGCTCTCTCTTGTAAAAGATTCTTATAATTATAAAAATTATATTTTATGTATTAAGAACATGTGTTTAAATGTAAAATTTATTGTTAAAGGGAGAGAGAGCACAATAAATATTTTTCAAAATATAATCTTAATTCTAATTTTTAATTTAGAAAAATTTATCAACAATAATCATATAATCATTAATTTAATATTGATAATTGAAAAATTATTTATTAGATTTTTGTAAATCAGTCTTGGTTTTAAGAGAGACTATTGGCTTTACTCTTACATTGATAACATCCGCTAAGAGGATTATCTCTTCTACGTCAGGTTTTTGGGTCACTTGGCTAATTCTATTTCCGAATGAAATTAAGATAATGTCAGGTATTTATTTAGCTCGGAACGCGATATATCGAAAACAATTCCGATATTTGTATGTCCAAACTTTACCACGCAGAAATATCTATAAGAGAAAAGAATGATCTCTATTTTTTATCATGCTTGCGTATAGCATTTCTATTTTTTTAGGGGCGTCCCTTATGGTTTTGCATTTTTATTATATCTTACATTAATTGATACTATCAACATCATCATTTGCAGACAGATTGTCGTTCTTGGTCGATGAATCTGCGTCTTAGCGAAATCTTCATGTAATCGCCTGATGTGCTAGTTTAGTTGTATATCTGTTCATGTCCTCCAATCTTCTAAGTATCGATAATTTTGCAAAACAATTTTGTACGCGAAATTTTGAATGTAACTTCAAACTGAGTTCTTTGAATAGCAACAAGTTCGCTGACCTCGTACATAGTTTCAGGCACATAGTTGCAGGCTTTCATCTGCTATTATAAATTATTCTTGCGATTTTCCTTTTGAATTTTACCAATAAAATGGTAATTGCTTCCAAGCGCAATTCAGAGCGATCTTATTTAAATACACGCGGGAATAAGCTTCTTTTATATTATATTTTGTATTCAAAATCATCTTGAAACGTTCAGCTCATACTTACAGGATCTAAAATAAGCACAAATTCAAGATTTAAAAAAAAATCAATTACTGTGTAGAATTAATTTTTATTTTAGGGATTTATTGTACAATATTTGAACTGCCTATTATTAAAGAAATTCAATAAATAATATAAGTCGTGGAACAATTCTCGCCAAATTTTTTCGCCGCGACAGAATCGGATGGGTGGCAGATTTCCGGAGGCGAAGGTGGAAATCTAAAAGTAAAATATTTTCTTGTAAATAAATAGAATAACGTGTAGCGTAAATTTTTTTTTTACCGAAAATTGTGAAAAAGAGGATTTAAAAATTAAGTACAATATATAAAACTTGAGTTCAAATGTTTAAATATGAGAATATAATATTTAAAAATTTAGAGGTTTGCCGACATACGTATATAAAAATACTTACGTTGTATATACAAGAAAGGATGTTATTGCCTCTCATGGCAAATTGAAGAAATAATATATGTAATTTCTTTCTTTCTTATTGCTTCAAGGATCTCCTCTCCTTCTTCTTTTGCTTTTTAATACAAAGATCAAGTTTTAGCACAAGTGTACTTATGGCGTGTGAAATGGCTTACAATTGGTTTTATGTCGATTACCATACTATCAATATTTTAGATTAATTTGAAAATAGCGGCTTTTTATACCGCAATTAATTGGTGCACTTTGCAGATTTCCACCTCGATAGATAGATTTAGAATGGATTTTTTTATCCCTCGGTCAAAAGGCGCTTGTTTAATCGAACTGTACCCAACTCTTCGATCGCGCTTTTTTCTTCTTTTTTTTTTTAAAAAATCCTCAAGCGCAGAATTATTAACGACGCTCTGGCTATTGGATATTCTTACTATAAAGGTAGAAATATCAGATATTTTCCAACATTTTAAAAACCACGAGAAAATAATAGAAAAATAAAAATAACATTTAACAAGATTCGATTAATTTTTGAAGTAAGACAAAGGGAAGATTGCAATTGCAATCGCGCGTTACATAAAGATGTATCTGTTCTTTAATGGAATATCAAGTATCACGTAATCACGCGGACGTGTTCACATTGGATCGATGGGTATTACGTCTCGAACGTGAATCGCTTGCCGATTTTGCTGATAAGATAGAACATACCGAGCAAATTTATAGCAATGTTCCGTCTGGTATTACAGAATTTCAATTCAAAAAATCTGTTAGCTATATTACTACCATCTGTCTGTCATACAAAAAAATTTCATTAAGCTCCAAAATTTGACGTAACAATTATTTTCATGAAAATTATTAATTTCCCTTGTAAATCGAATTGATTTATAATTGTATTAATTCGCGAGCATACGTATTTAGAAATTTAATTGATCAAATAAAAATTTAATATCAACTTATACAAATAATGCATATTCTGCTGTTTGCAATATTTTATTTTTCACTATTAATATCGCCAATTATACTTAAATTAATTTCACGCAATTACTTGCATCGATGAAATTATAACAGTTGCGATTTGCGTACTTCGAACTTATCCGAAGACACGTACGACATTCCATTAATAACTCTCAATAATTAATTTCCAGATTTAGTTGCTTATCTTCCTCAAGTGATCTGCCCTACGGAGCTCATCACTTATATACATATATTGTATGTATATGAAGAGCAAAATAATTGTCACTTAATATCAAATTTGTAATATAAGTTGCATTTTTTACTTAAAGTGTTAAAAAGAGCAAGATAAAAGAATATATGTTAAATAATATTTCAACGTGTAAAATAAAAACAAAAAATATATATAATTAAAACAAATAGATTAGAGCTCGAAACTTTTATATTAATGTGCAAATTAACATAGATATATTTAACTTTCGTTTTATAGTATCATGTAAAAAATTAATATTATATCACAGGAAAAAAATTAAAATGCGCTTTCTAATTTATATTCCCTCTCCCTGTAAAATAAATACTTTAACCCAAAATTGCATATGTTATATTGCATTAAAAGAAATTTGTTAAAATCAAATTAATTGAACGTGCTATTTGTATAAAAAAAATTTGAGTTTTTTTAGGGTAAAATACGATGCACAAAGGTTTAGCTTTTCAAACATATTCAATAAATGAGAAATAAAAAAAAGTTATGTGCACAAAAACATCGCTGCATTCGGAAAAAAAGCATTGTTTCGAAATTGTGCCAATACTAGCATCAATATAATTCAGTTAAAAAAAAAAACCGAATTTGAGGCGTTATTTCAGATTATATGAAGAATTCAGATAATCGCGAGTTTAAATAGAAAATTGAATTACACGCTTAAATTAAAGAATCGTGCAAGTCTTTTTTCCTCTTTCGAGATGAAAAAGATGTCTTCCGCCTCCCCGAGATTTTTATATCATATCTCGGAGTTTGAATTAAATCCCTGACGAGTCGAAATCATTATTCCGACGCACGGTTATAAAGTCGGATAATGGTACAGAGGGGTCAGTAGAAACCGTGGGTGTGTACTATGTGTTAAATCTCACATCAATAAAACCGCCGGTTCCCAGACTGCATGCCCCCTACTTCATATCGAGATATCTGCGCGTAAAAATAGACGATGTGCACGTGTGGGTGCAATTGCAAGTAAGTAGCACGCAGTTCGGTCGGTTTGCGATTCATCTTGCAAAGGTCAAGCTTTTCAGGAAAAGCACAAGTTATTTGGATAATGTGTTTCTCTCTCGACATACACTTCGCATTACGTACTATCTCTTTTTCTCCTTCCCTATGCATGCACTTTATTCTAAGTACTAAATTTGCAAACTGCAGTGTGCACTAATTTATACGCACGCACACGCACGCACACGTTGCACCCTCTTAATAGCACGCTGCTCTGAATGTAATAGCGACATTGTCCCCACTTCACTTCCAAACTGTAAAATTCAGGGTCGTAGAGATATCATTTCGTTCATATATTATTTTCCAGCACTCAGTTGGGAAGACAGATACGCATTGTTATACAGTTGTACCGTTATTACCCCACTCATGCTATTCACGTGCGTTTAACATGTGTATGAAAGGGATTTTTGACACTATTTTGCTATTGCGAGAGCTCCTATTTTCAGTATATATAGGTACAATATATTTAATAGATTAATTAATTTCTTATTTATTAAAACTGTTATTTTTTTCTTGATAAAATAACAAACTTTTATCTCTCATAAAAGAGATTTGTATAATTTTTTTTCGAAAAATTTACACTCACATATACACATTTAAAAAAATGTATATACAGTGTGTTTTATTTTAATTGCACAAGTATCTTAAAAACAAGATATTATAGAATGTGTCAAACAAAATTTATATTTTATATTTATACGTTATAGTTTAAAAGGAAAATAATTGATGATCTTGAATTTTAATTGTAAGCTTATTTGAAAATCAACCTAGTTATTATAAATAGTAAAATTTTATTATAAATCGATAGTTTTTTTATTATAAATCGATTCTGCGCAATATTTATGACATAAAATGTTTATGAAAGTAAGATTGCCAAAAGTGAATAGTTTATGAAATATTTTAATTAATAAAATAATTTCATAAAAATAAATTTTTCGATGACCTTACCCCAATACTTTTATATGCATAAAATAATAAGAAGAATCAGTTGTAAGAAAAAGCAAGTATATAATTTGCAACTAGCAGTTACATACATTTATTTCTTATTTTTATTATATTACTGCATATATTTATTTATTTCTAAATGCATCCTTGATTGTTGTTTTATTTAATTTTGCGGATAATTTTTTCCTTCACATTATGCTTTGCCGCATTAATTTTAAAAAAGACAACAAAATACACTAGAACAAAAACTCACCCATTAGATGCGACTGTAGTTAGAGATATTAAACCATAGCAATGATCGTGACTTAAAATAATAACGATTGGCTGGTTCGGTCGAGGGGATAACAAGCGTCTTCCGCCGACAATTTTACACGATGATCCATTTATATAAGCTACTCCGATCACAAGTAGAAGATGCCCGCGTCTTGTCGCACAGGATGCTCTCGCCAATCTGTTGATTCATCGTGCTCGATACAAAAAAATTCTGTCTCATTCGGATTCAACTCGCAACTATATTATAGGGAATTAATAAAACATAAAAAGTAGGCCAAATATACGAGCCAAAATAATTTAGATGTAAGAATAATTAAAAATTATTTATTCATAATATAAATGTAGACGTTTCGACCTTACTTAGGTCTTTATCATAATTTTTAATTATTCTTACATCTAAATTATTTTGGCTCGTATATTTGGCCTACTTTTTATGTTTTATTAATTTTAAATTTTACACGAGCGTTGATTTGTATTTTTATTATATTATAGGGATCCTAGAATTGTGTATATATTTTGCCGAGAAGATGTCAACTTTTTTTCAAGTGTTCTTTGGCTGTATAGAATTTCTGAAAACAAGAAAACAAATTAAAGGTATAATATGTTTAAAATTTTGCTTGGCATATACAGTATCCTTCATAAGTTTGGAAACAACTTACATTTTATAGTTAAACAATCGTATGGCAGCGATCTGTGTAGATTTGTTGTATCAAGAAATCGTTAAATGTTTCAACGACATTTTTATTTATGACAGGTCGCTGCCATGCGATTGTTTAACTGTCAAATGTCAAGTGTTTCCACACTTGTGAAGGATCACAGTTAATAATCTTTTCAAATAATATACTGATAAAAAACATTCCATTAAGTTTATATTCTTGCATGTTACGAATTTCTTTAGAGAAAATTGACAGATCTGTGCAAATTTTTTGTATCAATAAATCATAAAATAAACATAAAATATTTAAATGCAATTCTTTAACTGTAAAATGTAAGGTGTTTCCAAACTTATGGAGGGTATTGCATGAAGTAATATTTTCGGTTTCATAAAAATTAAATGTATGTCTGAGAAGTAATGAGTATATCCCCTGATTCTTGAAAGCCGCTTTGAAATATACTTTACCGCAAATACGGAAACCGTCAATCTAGCTCTAATTGACCTCAATTTTTAATGTTAATAAGCAACTTATATTGCATAACTCGCTGGAATCTAGACGTTAATCAATAGTTTCATTTTACCTTTGTGTAGTCCACAATTTCGCAATGTCAGTGTGTTCCATATATTCTCTTTGTAGTCCGCTTATGAATACTGCATTGACTACTATGGTTAACACGATCAGTAAATTCTAGTGAGCAAATGGATAAGCAAACTGTATGATGAATTGCTACATTACCATAAATTCTATCCACTTTTGCGATGAAATAAATAACGCGAAATGTCTGAAATATGTGGGCACCATAAAAGATAATCTCAAATGGGAATCATAATTAATATCTATTATTTTAAAGATTTTTTATATATACATGTATATGTATATGTATATCAGAAATCTGCAAATTTTATTACACATTTATTGTTCGAATGTTTGTGACATGAAAAATTCTTTGTAAAGACTTGAAATCATTTCTGGTTTTCAAAATATCATATAGAAATTTGGGAAAAATAAAGATTTTGCAACATTGTGAAATTGTGGACTACAGAGGTAAAATGAAACTATAAGTTGCTTATTAAACATTAAGAATACAAAAAAGATTTTGATATATTTGAATTATCATAGAAAATAAATTAATTTCCAAATTTTGTTAATATTAGAGAACTAAAACAGATTTTACTTTTATAAAATACTTTTTCTCTATGCATTTTTTCTTTATTATAACTTCCTTTATTTTTTTTCAATTATCAAAGCCATTTATAAAAACAATTTAAAAATTTTAAATAACTATTGGATTTTGTTGCATAGATAAAATTTTATGTCAACTTTTTATCAATCAAGTATTTAGATTGCTGATTATAAATTTTAATAAAAGATATTGTTTAATAAAAATAATTAGAATTGTGAGTTGAAAATGAATTACTAATCGATAATGAAAACATTTTGTTAATGTTTGAAATAGTATTGGTACATTGCAATAAACATAGTAATTTTAATCTTAAGTATATTGATGTTTATATAATCTATGAAAGAGTTATTAATTACGAATTGATTAACGCATATTCTCGTTATTTGTTATAATATATATAAAATAATGAACTGTAAATTATACAAAGTTCGAAGTTTTTATTAGATTTTCTCTCATCCATGAAAATCGATGAAATCGACATAATTGATTGATTAACGTGAGTTATCTTGATTGATTAATGTGAATAATTAACATTCAACGTCATTATTGAGCTAATATTGAATCTGCTTAACACAATTGGCAATTCCTGTATAAGAAGTTTTGCACATAAATTAAAATAATACTTTTAAATTTGTACCAAAATATTATCGGTTTATTATATCAAATCCGGTATTTTTAAAATTAATTTTCAATTTTACTTCAGATTTGTAATCAACGACATTACAAATTATTGTTAATAAATATTAAAGAAACGGGTATAGATTTTTTATCATTCAGACAAATAATGGTATTATATTTTTTTACTGTTTTCTGAAAGTATTTTAAAATTTAAAAAATACTAAAAATGTTTTCTTGATAATTATAAAAATGTAACAGTGTATATGTATAACTCACATATAAATATAGTAGTATAGGTTTCTGTATACATATAGTATACTTGCCATTGCTTTAATTGAAAACTTTATATTTTTAAATTTTGGCAAAAAATAAAAATATTATTTTATATCTCTATATTTTTTTAAAATAAAATAATTTCTTATTTTTTATATCTTATATTTCTTCTCATTATAATTTTGATCTTCATTAGTCTATCTTCATTAGTTACGAAAAACCGCTATACGGTATAAAAAAATTACGCAAAGATTAAAAATTTAACGAATGCTATTTTTTATTCTTAAAGTATATGAGCCTTGAGCAAAAAGTAGAAAATGATACACGTGCAACACATATATAACAAATTACCAATAATCAAAGCTCAACTTGACTCGTAGAGGAAAGAGGGTGTTGATTTAGGTGTGTTGATGTATCATAAATTGAGTACAATCGTCCGCGGTTGGACGAAACATTTTTCGCGAAACAGGATGTGGAGGCAGCGATAAAGGACAGGGATAGAATTGGAAAATACGGAGCGGACTAAACGAAAATAACCAGAGCCGATGCAGGTCATTGTTTACGTCACTAGACTCCGGCTAAACTTTTATTCGGCGTTTTCCACGATGGTCCTTCTTTATTTGCACACAGATCGACTTTAAGATCGGCACACCCTGACATTTTATCCGCAGCTGCAACTGCAGCGCCTGCAAGGGATGCAATTTTTAGGCTCGCTGTCTCAACAATCTTTACTTTGCTTATTTGCGGTCAAAGGAATATAGATTAAAAAAAGTTCGCTTTTTCAATTACTTTGTTCTTATCAAAGAACGATCCGCGTCGGTGGATATAATATTTGAGTATTTAAATACTGTGATAAAAAAAGAAGTATGATAAAGTAAGGATAAAAGTAATAAATAAAAAACTTAATATCATAATTTAAAATATTTTTTTTATAAATAAACATATATTTAAAAAATTTTTAACTAATAACTTTGGCTAACAGCTTCGAATTTTGATTGATATACAAAAATGTATAACAAGAATACAAATAGATTAAAAAACAAACAGACTTGTGTAATAAATAATTATAATAAAGAAATAGTAATCTATAAAGAAATAAAAAATAAGGCCAAAAATAAGAAGCTATACAAGTGAGGCACTTAACTTTATGATCTAAGTTTTCTATGCTGTTTTCTCTGTGCAGTTATCGAAAAATGTTTTCAACAAACGTTTCAGGGAGAAATATGATACATGTAATAGATTTCTGATAGCATGCGATTTTTGTATTTAAATATTATCTTCATTTTTTGTAAGAATTATACATATATTTTTTCTTATATAAACTGATTTTTCCCATCAATTCGATACATAAAATTATTAAGGTAGAAATTCAGAGTATCAAAAAATCAAGAAATTAAGGCATAAAAAGCATATGTAAAAAAATCTCGTAAAAAATAATGCTAATGTTATAAAATATAAAAATCGCTATAAGAAATCTGTTACATGCAATAATATTTCTTCTCTTAACGCCATGAAACTTTTGTTGGAAACAATTTTCAGTAACTACACACATAATAGAGAAAATTCATAGAGATTATAAAGTTAAATGTTTCAACATTCCTGAATATAAAATATAAAAAAATGAAAAAAATTTTTTAAGTATATATATATATGCACGTGTGTATTGTATAATGTGTGTACTTAATTGTGTATATATAGGATATTTTATTATATATATAAAATTATATTATCTCCTTTTATCTTTAAACTATATTATCTAAACTAAAGGAGATGGATCATGATAAGAGTATAGAGTGCAACTGACAATGAAAGATCTGCATAAATTTTGAAAATAAATTTTTTACGCAGAATAATGAAAAGATTATAAGCAAAGATTTTTTTAAAGCTTCATTATAGAAGCTTCTTTAAATTTGAAATTTGTTAATATTTTATTTATTATTTTTAATTACATATCACATATATGTAACGTACGCATATATACATATAATCTTTCTATATTCTATGTGTCAAATTTTTAATATACATATATATACCAAAATCGTGTAAATGTTTTAAATTATTTTATAAAAAAATTGTTGAGCGGAATCTTGGATTCATTGTATAAAAAAATTCATGCAGGAAGTGTAAATCTCAGGAGTATATTATATATAAGATTGTTAAAGCTACATTGTGTTTGTGTGTTAATTAAAACTATTAAAAGAATAACGTATTTTTCCTGACCCTTATTTCTGTAATGAAATCTCTTGAGGACCTTTGCTCACATACCATTTTTATTGTTCTGATGCTTAAAATATATATACCTATATACAATATATGTATATGCTTATTTTTTAATGTTTAAATGTCGCATATTATATATATATACAAACGAAAAGAAATTCTGAAAAAAGCGAATTGGCAATTAATACTCAGCTATAAATGCGTGCAAGCTATTTTTTCTGTAAATCTACTTGTAAATCTAAAATTCCAATCAATATACTTACAATTAGTTATCACATTTTTCTTCACTTGTACAAGAGAGAATCATTTTCATTGTAAAAAATG